TATCTACTCCGTTTAACAGAAAATAGGCAAGACAATTGTTAGTCAACCCACCGGGTTTAAATAACCATACTGCATAGTAAACATTAAAGAAAACTAATTAAACTTTCCTATCAAAAGTAATCTACAAAAAAAAAACTTATGTGACACCGCAATGTATAGTTTGTTTTAACAAATTTTTACAAGACGACTGTTAGCTAAGCCACGGGCTAATTACTACCTATGCCACTTAACGCTGCTTGATCCATAAAGGAAATATAAAACCTCTTGTGTTAGTCTCTGTTGTCTGTCCCATGTTGTCCCTGCCGCTCTCATTGGTGAATTGGTTATGGTTAATAGTACTTCACACGATTGACGGCAAATAAATCAACCATCACTATACAACACCGCAATACCCCTTCCCATCTGAACAGAAATTAGGCAAGACGATTGTAGACTTCTTAACCCACCGGGTTACAGTTAACTATATTGTATAGTGGATGCACTCCATTTGTTATGCGACCAACTCGAATCCTTCCGTCTGTCTTCATTTTGTCATCTGTTGGTAGGTTACTCTGTTATTTCGTCATTGTCTCGTCTTACGTTCGTGTGCGTTGGTCGTGTACTCCTCGTTCGTGTTCGTTGGGCGCCATTTGTTGTGTCAGCCCAGATGGTTTATTGTAGTACTTAAGTGCCCTGCATAACATGGTGGCAAGCCCGGTATGCTCGCCGGTTTAGGGGTGGGGTTCTTGGCTACTCAAATCCTACTGCTGACATCGAACAAAAAAAAAACATGTCATGACTTACTTCCATCCATTTCCGTAACTAAACAAATAAACTATATCTTCTTCATAGGTATATATACATATACTCCTCTATTCACTTACTATAACTAAGTAGATTAATAACTATTACTAAAACTAATATATATCTTTCAATTTCAAAACTTGCATATATAATCCTAATTCTTTATAATTCAATTTTTTCTTTTTCTTTTTTTTTTTTTTTTCTTTTTCTTTTCTTTCCTTTTTGTTTCAATTTAACTCAATTGATCTTTCCATCACTTCATACTACTGACTAAAAAACAACAGACAACTACCCAGACATAATACCTTAACTACCCAGACATAATGTTTTTTTTTTTTTTTTTATATTTTTGGTTTCTTAAATTTAAAAAAACATTCATCGTAGAAGATGGGCATGGTTTTTTTTTCATTTGAAATTATTACACAGGCCGCAGGTGTGTCATTATTGGGAAAACGTCCGGTTTCTCCAGGACTCACGTCCAGAGCACGCATCATTTGTATCATTTCTTTCACAATGCAATGATGTTCCTCATAGCTAACCTGCGGTATTGGTCCCTTAATACATTCATTGACAGTAGCCATACTTCTATATTGATCAATATCCACGTCCGTGGTTTACTGTGTTTCTCTTTACTTAACTGATTTTATTTTTGCTAGGCCCCCTTGATCTACCTGAAGCACACCTCTAGAGCTAACAGTTGGAGTCTAAATCATAATTAGGCTATTGCTATTAGCCGAATAAAGTTCCACTCACATAAGAATAAATTAATGTGTATGAGTGTAATCAAAAACAAAAATTTTCTGGTTTTAATTTAAATCTTTCCTCTTTTTTTTTTTTTTTTATTTATCTGTTTATTATAAAGTAATAATAACAAAAAGAGAGAAAAAAAAATATATATATATATACTGACAAATGAAATAAAATTTATTCATACATCATAAAAAAACTAATATTTTTAACCATTATCTATTTTTATATACTTATATGTATACTTATAAATATAATTGAAATTAAGTACATATCTAAATCAAATTAGATAAAAATATCTCTAATGCACATCAATTTTTTTCTTTTTAAATATCAACCTGCGTTTATTATTATTTTTTTTTTTTAATTGAGTTTATACCAGGTACTTACTAGCCCCGCTGAAATGACGTCACCTCGCGCGCTCCAGTTACCTAGCTGCATAAAAAAATTTAAATAGAGAGAGTTTATGTAAAACACATGAATCCGTGTCTATTTTGCAAAGCAACTATTGATGTGCTTAAAGAGATTTTCTGTCTTTTGAAAAATTTATGTTCACAATAACTTAATTTATGTATTTATTATTCCTGTATTAATTAAAACAAATAAAAAAATTCAAAAAAAAACTAAAAATAATAAAGAAACTAAAGACACAAAAACTGACTTTTTTTTTTTTCAAAATTCACTATAAATATTATTGCTTTGTAATGTAATAGAAAAAAATCCAAAAAAAATTAAAAGAAAATACAGATATAAAAAAATTAATGATTTTACAAGAAAAACTTAAGTTCAAATAGATATAATTCCATATTTTGATATAATTTCTTCTTTTACTAATTTATAAAATATCAGCGAATTTACAATCTGCGACCTCAATGTATTCTCAATAGAACTGATGTTGAAATACCTGCTAATGCCGCTACTTATACAGTTGGTTCTTTTATCCTTTTGTCCTACGTTAATATAGCTGTCTGTTTGCGGTGCTCAGAAATTCCTTACTGTACTCCCTATTCTAGGTCAATTTTCACCACATTTTACTGTTCACAATTTAGAATTCTAGGTAGCCAAATGTTAAATACTTTATATACACAAAACTGCTACTTTTTGCAGTAACTTTTATATTCTAATTTTTATAGAATTTCTTTCCTGTTCACAATATTGAAATCTACGTAGTCACTCTTAAAGATTTTATTTAAACAAAACTGCTACTTTTGCAGTAACTTTTATATTCTAATTTTTATAGAATATTCTTTCTTGTTCACAATATTGACATCTACGTAGTCACTCTTAAAGACTTTATTTAAACAAAACTGCTACTTTTGCAGTAACTTTTATATTCTAATTTTTATAGAATTTTCTTTCTTGTTCACAATGTTGAATTTAAAAAAAAAACAAACTGATCTAATTATATCAGTATTCTTTCAAACAATATCATTAGTTTTCACAAACAAAAAAAAAACTTTTCGCCAAAATTATATATAATAGTTAAAATTCTTGTTAGTCTTTAGAACACAACCTTTCACCATCCAGATTCACCAAACTGACCCTTTTTTCAGCTCCGCTTCCCAATTTTATACCACCGCTAATACTTGTAACTGGCCTTTTTTTAACTTTTTTTCCAGTTACCAATATTTGCGGGGTAGCAGAACCTTCCGTTCTCCTAACATTTTGTTTGTTTTTGTTTTTTTCTTTTTTTCTACATTCCGAATATTTAACACAATAAAACTCCTAATTTACATGCTCTGCCCTATTGGCAGCACTAAAACTTTCAAGTTCGGAATGTGTATGAGCTTTCGCCGCGATCTTACAAACCAAAACAAAAGACAATAATAGAATCAAAAGCTTTCAATTATTTTGCTTGGAATGTGCGCGCAATGCACATGTTAATTTTTATTATTTTTATTTTTTTATTAGTGATTAACGTACATAAAATAAAAACAAATAAAAACAAATTTTCTACTGCTGGCGAGGGGAATACTGAAGGGAATACTGCGTCCTATACCTGCAAGGTGCTCTTGGACAGCGTGGGTCAACCCAGGTAAAATCAAACTATTCTTTTCTTTTTTTTTTTCTTCACTAACCATACGTATCCTTTACCTAGGCCTACATAACACATCATTGGGCGTAGCAAGCGTGATGTTACAGCTGCTTTTGCTGCTATCGAAAAGGAATCTGCAAGAATGGGTTTAGCGGTGAATGAGGGAAAAACGAAGTATATGTCGGCTACTGGTAGAAATGTGCGTCGCTCGGACGCCGGGCTAGTGGCTGGCGACTATACTTTCGATTCTGTCAAGGATTTCATCTACCTTGGCACCGCCGTAACGAATACAAATGATGTCAGTCTGGAGATCAGACGAAGAATCACCATTGCTAATAGGTGCTACTATGGGCTCAGTAGGCAATTGGGATGTAGAGCTCTCTCTCGACAAACGAAACTTACGCTCTATAGGTCGCTCATCCTCCCTGTGCTTCTGTATGGCGCAGAAGCATGGACGTTATCCCAGAATGTGAAGCAGCACTGGGAGTGTTCGAGATAAAAGTTCTTCGTAAGATCTTTTGGTCCTCTACGATTTTGGCGACGACTACCGCATAGAATGAACCACGAGCTGTACGAGCTTTTCACGACATTGAGTAATTCAGCGCATTAACATTCACGGCTCGCTTTGGCTTGGTCATGTCTGTGGAGATTGGGATGGAGACTCCCGGGAAAAAGTGTTTGAAGCAGTAGTTATGGGAAGAAGACGTAGAGGTATACCGTGTCTCCGGTGGAGTGATCA